TCCCAGAGTGCTGGGATGACAGGCGTGAGCCTCCGCGCCTGGCTCATTTTTTCTATATATTTTTAGTTGTCCAGCTAATTTCTATTTCTTTTTTTTTTTTTAGTAGAAACGGGGTCTCCCTCCTGCTCACGCTGCCCTCCAACTCCCGACCTCAAGCGAGCCTCCCGCCTCGGCCTCCCTCCCCAGTAGCTGGGACTACAGGCATGCGCCACCACGCCCGGCTCATTTTTTCTATATATATATATTTTTTTAGTCATCTAAGTAATTTCTTTCTATTTTTAGTAGACACGGGGTCTCTCTAGTTCTTGCTCAGGCTGGCCTCCAACTCCTGACCTCGAGCGATCCTCCCTCCTCGGCCTCCCAGAGTGCTGGGATCACAGGCGTGAGCCTCCACGCCCAGCCTCCCTAGTTATTTTATTTTTTTGAGACAGAGTCTCACTTTGTCGCCCGGGCTAGAGTGAGCGCCGTGGCGTCAGCCTCGCTCACAGCAGCCTCCAACTCCTGGGCTCAAGCGATCCTCCCGCCTCGGCCTCCCTCCCGAGTAGCTGGGACTCCAGGCATGCGCCTCCACGCCCGGCTCGTTTTTTCTATATATATATTAGTTGGCCAATTAATTTGTTTCTATTTATAATAGAGACAGGAGTCTGGCTCTTGCTCAGGCTGGCCTCGACCTCCTGACCTCGAGCGCGATCCTCCCTCCTCGGCCTCCTCCCAGAGTGCCGGGATGACAGGCGTGAGCCTCCGCGCCCGGCCTCCGTAGTTATTATTAATTTCAAACTTGAGACCGGTGTACACGGTCACCAGGACGGTTTTACGGCCCTCGATTAAACTGCCCCGTGGCCGCGGAAACGCCACCCTCGGCCCCCCGCGGGGGCCCGTACCGAGTGATCTCGCTGGCGGACTGGTCCTCGGGCGGGATGTCTGAAGCGTCGCCGTTGCTGAGGGACTCGCTGAGGCTGGCGAGGGAGGTCACCACGTTGGCCAGCGTGCCCAGGGCGCCCTGGCTTGTCTCGGCCTGAGGCACACACAGAGCAGCGAGAGCACGGCGTGAGTCACTGACATCTAAGGCGAAATAGAACAGGCCGGGCGCGGGGGCTCACGCCTGTCAGTCGTCCCGGCACTCTGGGGGGGGGGGGGGGCCGGGGAGGGAGGATCGCTGGAGGTCGGGAGTTGGAGGCTTGGCCTTGAGCAAGAGCCAGAGACCCCGTCTCTACTATAAACAGAAAGAAATTAATTGGACAACCAAAGAAATATATAGAGAGAGATCAAATGGGCCGGGCGTGGAGGCGCACGCCTGTGGTCCCAGCTACTCTGGGAGGCCGAGGCGGGAGGCTCGCTGGAGGCCGGGAGTTGGAGGCCAGCCTGAGCAAGAGCGAGACCCCGTCTCTACTATAAACAGAAAGAAATTAGCCAAACAACTAAGAATAGAAAAATTAGCCGGGCGTGGAGGCGCGTGCCTGTGGTCCCAGCTACTCGGGAGGGAGGCCGAGGCGGGAGGATCGCTTGATTGAGGCCAGGAGGTGGAGGCTGCTGTGAGTGAGGCTGACGCCACGGCGCTCACTCCGGCCCGGGCGACAGAGCGGGACTCTGTCTCAAAAAAAAAAATATTAATAAAAAAATAAAATAGTAATGAAAGTCAATAGAAGAATAATAGAAGTGTAAATAATGATAATAATAGAAATAATAATAGAAGCGTAAATAATAATAATAGAAATGTAAATAATAATAGAAATAATAGAAATGTAAATAATAGAAATAATAATAGAAATGTAAATAATAGAAATCACAATAGAAATGTAAATAATACAAATAATAGAAATGTAAATAATAATAGAAATAACAATAGAAATGTAAATTATAGAAATAATAATAGAAGTGTAAATAATAATAGAAATAACTAGAAATAACAATAGAAATGTAAATTATAGAAATAATAATAGAAGTGTAAATAATAATAGAAATAATAATAGAAGTGTAAACAATAATAGAAATAATAATGGAAGTGTAAGAAATAATAGAAATAACAATAGAAATGTAAATAATAATAGAAATAACAATAGAAATGTAAATAATAATAGAAATAACAATAGAAATGTAAATAATAATAGAAATAACAATAGAAATGTAAATAATAGAAATAACAATAGAAATGTAAATAATAGAAATAATAATAGAAGTATAAATAATAATAATAGAAATGTAAATAATAATAGAAATAGTAATGGAAGTGTAAGTAATAATAATAGAAATAACCATAAAAGTGGAAATAACAGAAATGTGAGTAATAGAAATAACAATAGAAATGTAAACAACGACAGAAATAATAATGGAAATGTAAATAATAACAGAAATAATAAAAGTGTAAATAATAGAAATAATAATAGAAATGTAGTAAGAGAAATAATGAAAGTGCAAATAATAATAATAACAGAAACAACAACAGAATCGCAAACAATAACAGAAGCATAAATAATAATAATAGAAACAATAACAGAAGTATAAATAATAATAACAGAAACAACAACAGAAGAATAAATAATAACAACAGAAACAACAACAGAAACGCAAACAACAACGGAAGCAGCAGCAGAAGTGCATGTCCTGCCCGCCACCGAGTGTCCCCCCATCCGCAGGAAGGCGACAGCCGGCCGGACAGACGGACGGACGGACGGGCGCGGCGAGGCCAGGCGCCCGTGGGGCCGTCAGGAGACGCAGCCCCTCTGGAAGGCGGCCGGGCAGAAGCGGCCGACGCGCAAACCCAGAAGTGTGACCCTAGGAGCGGCCGTGTGACCCGCGACGCCAGCCTCCCGCCTCGGCCTCCCTCCCGGGTAGCTGGGACGACAGGCGTGCGCCTCCACGCCCGGCTCGTTTTTTCTATATATATTAGTTGTCCAGCCCATTTCTTTCTATTTATAGTAGAGACGGGGTCTCGCTCTTGCTCAGGCCGGCCTCCGACTCCTGACCTCCAGCGATCCTCCTTCCTCGGCTTCCCGAGTAGCTGAGATTACAGTTCTTCTCTCTATTTTTAGCTGTCCAGCCCATTTCTTTCTATTTTCAGTAGAGACGGGGTCTTGCTCTTGTGCTAAGGCCCGGCCTCCAACTCCCGACCTCCAGCGATCCTCCCTCCTCGGCCTCCCTCCCGAGTAGCTGGGACTCCAGGCATGTGCCTCCACGCCCGGCTCATTTGATCTCTCTATATATTTTCAGTCATCTAAGTAATCTCTATTTTTTCGGTAGAGACGGGGTCTCGCTCTTGCTCAGGCCGGCCTCCGACTCCTGACCTCCAGCGATCCTCCCTCCTCGGCCTCCTCCCAGAGTCGCCAGCCTCACCTCTCCCACACAAACCCCCGGGGTAGCTTCTGCAAGACCAGATGCAGACAGAGACGCGAGTCACTCCGGTCACTCACAGCGAGGCCGGGGCACGCAGTGGAGCCGCCGCCGCCGCCGCCCGGCCGACTCGGCGGAGGGAAGGAGGCCCGGGCAGATGGAGGCAGACGGGGGGACCTCACCTTGGAGTCCGCGGCCAGGAGGACCGTCCCGTCCTCGCGGATCAGAGGCTGCTGGATGTTGACGAGCATCCCCGGGTCCAGGAGGCCTGTCTGTCTATTTGAGACACAAAGAAACCCAAGAGTTGGCGCGGCGGAGGCCGAGGAGGGAGGATCGCTCTCGAGGCCAGCCTGAGCAAGAGCGAGACCCCGTCTCTGCTATAAATAGACATTAAATTGGCCAACTAAAAATATATAAAGAAAAAAACGAGCCGGGCGTGGTGGCGCATGCCTGTCGTCCCAGCTAATCGGGAGGGAGGCCGAGGCGGGAGGATCGCTCCAGGTCGGGAGTCGGAGGCCAGCCTGAGCAAGAGCGAGGCCCCGTCTCTACTAAAAAAAAAAAAAATAGAAAAAAATGAGCTGGACAACTAAAAATATATAGAAAAAATGAGCCGGGCGTGGTGGCGCATGCCTGTAGGCCCAGCTACTCAGGAGGGAGGCCGAGGCAGGAGGCTCACTGGAGGCCAGGAGTCGGAGGCTGCTGTGAGCGAGGCTGACGCCACGGCGCTCACTCTAGCCCGGGCGACAGAGCGAGACTCGGTCTCCAAAAAAAAAAAAGAGAAG